TAATTTTTTCCGAATACCAGCCAATTTGCTCCTGTGTATCAGTTCTTGATGTGTCAGGATCCGTGGGATTATTTCCAGTTCCATCTCCCGCCTTGTATCTTCAGGATATTCATCCTTTATGTTGACAACTTCCACCAGAATATCACTAAGCACATTACCTTCATTACCTGGTGAAAAATGTAACCCCTTCTCTAAGAAATCCGTAGTTTCAGAATCGACAGGGATTGAAGATAGGTTCACTACCTTTGTCCTATCGTCGTCTGTAGCAGTTGATGCCTTCAATACAGAACCATCAAAATTTGCCAGGTTTGGCTTGGTCTTGCTTTGTCTTATTATCCCATAGCTAAGCAATTTCTTGTCAGATCCCGCACCTTCTGTGACTTCTGGTCCATCATGCTCTGGAGTTTTTAAAAATCATCCAAAGTGGGAACCCTACCAAAATCCTTCTTTAATCTGGACTTGAGATCTATGAACTTAAATAGCTGACGCCTGTCAGTCTCGTAACTTTCCTCTAATTTCTCGATGGAGGCGTGATAAAGCATTTCATAAACTGTGTCCGAATGACAGTTGTTCATTAGATTGCAGAAACGGGCAGCGGTACCATAATGTTCTTGCAACAATTCAAAAAGCCCAATGTGGTAGTTTAGACACCCACTTTATGTGAATACAGCGGGACACTTTTTCTGCAATCACCTTTTGCCCCGAGGAGCCATGCATCGCAGGCACCGTCAGTTGTCTCCTCCCGACAGGACTGCAAGTTTGACCTCACCTCAACTGGCCGCATAAGCACCATGAACGGGAGTCGAACTCAGGTTAGGGTGGTGCAATGCTCCATATAATGAGAGGAGTGGGCCTCACGATTTCATTGGATTTCCCTTAGTCTTTCCCTCCGAAGAGGTGCTTGTAGTGAATAGGTTTCAAAAGGACCGGCAGATCTTGAATAAGGACTGTATTCAAGCAAGGTCGTAAAAACAGGTGGTAAACGAATGGTATTTCAATTTCCCCCAATTACATGAATAAGCCTCATGATACCGGTGAAGTTAGCATGTGCTTGCTTCCATAAAACTATTCTCATCCCGGCTTGTGCTGTTCGAGCCCGGCTCGTGGAGGTGTCGCCTATAAATGCGACATGGTACCGTCACTACATGAATTTGAGAGCAAGTTGGGCCCTTATCATATCACACTTGTTTATCGTTTCGAAACTTACTCAACACGTATCGGTTGGCACTACATCAACATGCCAAAAGGCGGATCGCCTCTTCACACACGACAGGCCTCAAATACACACCTTGCATGCGGACATCAGAAAACAATGTGAAACAGGCCGAAAATGTCGAGAAGAGTACAAATAAAAGATTAACTAGAACACCAGCTGTTGGAACATTTATGCAAGAAATGAACATATGAGATGTATTCACCCTATTTAGTTTAAGGTGATGAAGGACTGGTAGTAGAATTTTCCCACAATCATATGAGTTGAGTTGACGCGTCCATTAAATTTCAGATATCCTTTTTTTCCCAAAACTTTTTGTTTCATCAGCCTAGACGATTTACTGGTAGTCTCGAAACTCTACTCAAATACGAAAAATAAGTAACGTAGTTGCTTGTTATAGCAAATATATGTTTGCTTAATCGACAATCCCACCAAAGAGTATGATATTATTAAAATACCTGGCCTACCTTGACATTCACATCTGCCCTGTGAACCAAGGGCATTCGTGGTAATGTGGTCGAGTGGGTAATGTTCTGCACTGTCACGGTTCGACTCCCGCTGGGTGTGTTGATAAGACCGATGCGAGTTCTAAACTGCAGTCCACTTCAGCTGGGATGAGAACAACTTTTGGGAAAGCAAGGCTATGTGAAATTAAATAGAAACGTGATTGTGGGAAAATTCTACTACCAGTCCTTCATCATCTTACACGGAATATGGTGAATACAACTCATATTACTGATTTGCTAGTAGTCTCGAAACTCTACTTACATACGAAAAATAAGCAATAAACACACATTCCATTTAGACTCCCTTCCATCCGCCTTGGCAGACGAAATGAAAGGTAGGCCAGTACCAATCTAGTAAGGCATTCTTCGAAAGCCAGCTTCTCTTCATATCCGAGGAATCGGGATTTCCAGTCGTCCTCAACCTAGGCAGCATAAGGTGAGGAATGAATGATAACTGAGTTCCCCCAGGATCGTATGATTTAACGATCATACGACACGGTTGAACGGCACCCAAACGTGCCTCCCAAACGACTGGAATGGATCGGGCTGTAGGTTCAACATCGCATGAAATGGTCACAGCAGCCCCCGTAGCGGGAGTCGAAGCCGGCTTTTGATGGTGGAGGTGAGAGTCTCGACAAGTTAACCGCTACGAATGCTATTGGGCGACAGGGAAGGCGTGAATTTTATAGAGAGTCACGTTAATATCATATGAATATCTAGTGATAGTCTTTCGAACACTACTCAATATGAATATAAGTAATATGACCTATGTTAATAACAAATACAAACTTGCTTTCTCGACAATCCCCCTGGCAAAATATGACACAGAAAAGGCCGGGCCCTGCTCAAGCGTCACGTCTGCCAGGAGACCCACGCTCACTCGTGACAGTGTGACATTGTGATGGTGTATGAAATGTCTTCATCCTACGTTATCAATGCATTTCACATAGTCTTGTTCTCCCACAAGCTATTCTCATCCAGACTGGGCTGGACTGCTTTTTCGACCTTGCCTCAACTAGTTTCGTCAGCCCACCCAGCGGGACTCGAACTGCCGTCCACGCTGGATGAGAATACCGTTTGGGAAGGCAAGGTTGTGTGGAATTCAATGGAAATGTAAAGTTTATTCATACGATTGTGTGCAAATTCAACTATCAGCCCTTAATCGCCGTAGTAGTTTCGAAGACCTACTCAACGAGAATATAAGCGACCGGGAAGATTGGGCTTGAGTTGAGGCGGGAAAGTCTTCCGGAGACGGTTATTTTGTCGACTTGATGGAAAGGAAATCCGATTAGCCTCCACAGTCCCACTCGAATCTCCCGGCGCCAAGAGGCCAGGAAGAAGATGGCATCTACTTTCGACTTCAATACCGACTGGTCCATGCTCGCACATGCCCCCACACACAAACACACACAGACATACACACAGACACACAACTGTCATTTGGATTTTGTGACATCCCAAAATGACTGCGACGGAGGAGATTTTGCGTCCCCACGAGACGGTTTCAAAAGAGCCTGAGCCTCATCCTCTTTGCGAGTGTTGTCAAGATCCAACCGGCCCGAGGGAGGGAAGCCTCTTGTTCCCTTGTCCCACAGACGCAGACTCTCCAGCCCACCGAACAAAGCGACAGGATGAGCAGCAATTGTCAAAGTCAAGTAGCCTCTTCCCTTCAGCGAAGGGTAGTCCAACCATTCGAAGCTGGAGTATCAACGTGATTTGCAAACTTCGGTACGCCAAACGGCTGTGCTGACGTACTGTTCATGTCGTTTGAGAAGGCGAGTGAAGAGGATTCGTAAATTGGCCGCACCGGATACCGAATCAGGGTCGCCTTGGAGCTGTGCCAAGATGACATGTGATCCCGATCCAGCCGTCATGTGACGAACATGTTCAAATTCAGGAGCCAACATTCACGAACAATCATCACAGTTCACAAGACCAAGCAAGACGGCCGGCTTTGTCATCTTGATGAGGCATTCCATGAGTTGATAGTGCATACCTTTCATTCCGTTTGGAAGGGCGTCTATTCCAGTGGCAATGCAATAAGCAAATCTTCGAGATCCAGCTTCTTTTCAAAGATCATGAATTGGTGGACTTCTTTATGCTTCTCCTAAATGCATGTATTCGAGTAAAATTGACGCAGAAATGGCCGCGGATGTGATCACAACTTTGCTTTATATAAATCAACTAGCGTGTGATCTTGTAACCTTTGGGCTTGTTTTAACTGCGTGGATGCGTGTTTATTGTGTGTGTGTGTGTGTGTGCAAAATTGGGTGCCAAAACAGACTCCAGCTTGGTCAAGTCTTCTCCTTCTACTCGGTGGCTCTTCCTGTTCCCTCTGTTTTTCAGAGTTACCTCCTGCTCGTTCCTTTACTTCAGGAGGTTGGTTGCTTTGTTAATTCCAATCGACTTCCATCCTCTTCTTCCACTCAACTATGAAGTACCAATATTGGGAAAAAACTTTGTCCCGTGTCCTGTAGTGTTCATATACTCAGCCATCTGCAATTTCGTGTTCTGATAACCTCTTCTGTATGAGTCGGCAAGTGTCTCCCCCATAGACACTACCAG